CCCCAAAACCCCAAAACCCCAAAACCCCGAGAAGTGTTGTTTATAAATAATAGAATGCATCGATAAATATAACAGAGAAAACAAAATTAATTTATATTGTGCGCTTAGGAGGATGCTAAAAATTAGAATTCATCTTCTTTTCCTGTAGAATAATACATAACTTGCCTTAGTTGGTATTTTAGAACTATCTAGTCTTGTAACATCACTGTCATCGAATTCATACCACTTTTTATTGATTGGATTTTTCGCATATGCTGTGTAGTGTCCTCCATTTAAACTTCCATAATGATTACTAACAGCATACAAATCATATATTATTGATTCATCTTCTTTGCCCTGAAGTACATAATTACTAAGATCTAAACCTTCTACTGGAAAATCAATGTACTCTTAAATCTTTCTAGAACTGAAAAATGTTGCTCTTTAATGAGAGAATCTCTTAAGATGAATTATAAGGAATTCAGGAGCTCTGTATAATTCCATTTTCTTTAGTGCTACTTAATGTTCTTTGCATTTAGAGCAGTAATATTTATCGTTTCCAGTAAGTGTTTCTTCTTAACTAAACCAGCTGATGCAATCATAAATAGATATACCTCCTTTCTTAGAAAGTGAGTTGTTATTCATTGACTAAGCCAAATTGACTTGGTCAAACTAGAGGTTTTCAAGGGATTTTAGATTAGCTTAAGGGTTTGAGTTCCACACTACAACCAATTCAAAATCTCTATCAAACTTCATAGTGTCTAATATTTGCCTCAAAGTCATTGTATCTTTCAGTACTTCAAGGTTACAGTTTGCTCCTTTATGCTACTTTTTACAAAAATCACAATCAGGTTGAGTTGATCCATAAATCATACCTGATTCAACAGGTAAATTATTATTTATTTGGATTTGATAAAGGGGGTTTAGAGCCTCGTATTAAGTACTTTAGCTATCTTTTTCGTTGAAAAACCAGTTGAATTCCTCTTCTAATATCTTTTGCTCATTCATATGCTTTCTTCTCTCCTTAGTAAGAGAAGGAATATCTGGAGTCTTTATCAGATATCTGAACTGCTTAAATATCATTAGTTTGATATCTCTGATTGTCATTCTTTTATCTAGAACTAATAATCTAGAGTAACTGATTGTTTGAACACCACCAGACCACAACATCCATGATTTTTTATTTTGAGAAATCTTAAGCTCTACTAAGCAATAATTATCTGTGTTTTCAGGTATGACAGGCTTTTGATAAGCGCAAAGTTCTTCATATCTCTCTAACTATTATTTCAACGCCTTTTCTTTGTTGGTAAGTAGCTCAATAGTATTTTTATTTTTAACTTTAGTAATAAACAACAGCTTTTATTGATTTTCAGGTAGTTGATATTCCATGATTTTTTGCCTGATTTCCCCAATGCTAAAATGATCACTAACATTAATAACGAATTCTCTGTGCTGCTCTTCAATTTTATATGGGAAGTATTTTACTACAATTCTCTACTCCTTAGTTTGAGGAATTGGCACAGAAAGCATGTTGAAGGGATCAAATGAAATAGATATTTTGCTGCAAACAGTGCACTACACTCTTGACTTCAATTAACCATAAAATAGGTCAACGAAAAGTGACTTTTCTCTCTTTTTAAATCCATCCCAGTATTCTTAACTCACAACCTCATCAGGTCTTCCGTCAAAGTCCTTATACTCAACATATGGCTTAGAACTTACATCATTCAAATCTTCATGAAGGGTCTCCAGTAAGAATGAAAGCATTTCTTGTGAGTCATGCTATGCAAAACCCTAGAATTGTATTGCCCTTCTTGAAATAACATTTTTAACATCCCAAGGAGCTACATATGAAGAGGAACCTACATAAATTTCTGTTAGCAACTCGGAAAAAGCTTAAGCTAATCGTCCACGTGTCCCTAATCCATTTCTTTAATTGATATGTGCTTCGTAGCAACCAAAGATAAAGTATTTTACTAATGGTTCTGTATTTGATAGACATTGAATTACGCTATTCATAAAGCAAGTATTGCCCAAGTTTTATAATCCTGTTAAGCCCCCTCTAGATTTACCGCCTTCAATACATTTATCGATTGGTAGAAGCATCAGTTACTTTTCATCTAAATCTTCGGCCTTCATGCTTTTTATGATGCTATTCTTGCTTTTCTTTTCCCTTTGCACCATTTGCTTAGGAATAAAAGCAAAATAGTTATTATTTTTTAGATATGCAAAGGCTTAAACTTCATATAGCAAAACATCTTATTCAGCTACATTAATATCTTCTATTATCTCCTAATCTGCTAAGATTCTGCCTTCTAAAGGTATAGGCAATGCATCTCTACTCTCAGCATCATACTCTCTTTCTATTTACATAACATTTTCACCAGTTTCAAGTCTCCAAATTCTAGAAATATTAAGCAGTTAATCAACAGTAGTATTGTCCTTTTTACTAAACTTTAAAATTTCAGCCATTTTGACTCTTAAATCATGAACTGTTGCTCTTCTAGATATGTATATGGTTGATGGTTTCTTCAAGCATGGATGCTTTTATATTTTTGGCAAGATGTATATTTGAATTGGCTTCATATAAAGCTCTATCATAAACTCTTCTTTTACTCCTTAAGTAAACTAAGTACTATTACTTTTGGTATCAGAACTTTACTCATCATCTTCAGTAGTAATTTTAATTGATTATCGAGGAAGATCTTAACCGCCATATATCTCCTCAAGATATATCCAAGCCTCATGAGATATAATGACAAAATCTTCATCCTCTTTGCAGGATGTCTTTAAATGAAAACAATCCGCATCATTTTAAGGTTCTTTCAAAAATATTGTGTCATTTATAAGGTTTTCAAATCCTTCGGTTGAATTTATTGGACCTGGATAGCCTTTGTCATCTTAATTTTTGTCCTAATGTATTTTTAGCTTTTCTAGTTTAATATCACTATCATCATCATTTTTGTCATTATCATCGTCAAATTTTTTCCCGTTACCATCATCTGTATATCCTTCATCTTCGCTTAGCTTGATAAACTTAAAGCCAGTATATGACTTCCATTTATTAAACCAATCAATTGCAATGATATGGTACTTTTCTCCTGCTTTTTTAGGAATTGAAGGCATCTTAGTTAACAGTCTCTTAACTGTCAGAGCCTCATTTTGCAGTTCTTATTTGGATTTAAAAATTACTTTTCTTTGAACCTTGATTAAAGGAAACTCTTTTCTCATTGTTTCTTGAAGTCGTTTTATGTAGTCTTCAACCTTCTTGTCTGATTAATTCTCCTCTTCATCATTATCAAATTTATACATTAGTCCTGCTACATCTCTGATGAATTTCTTGATATCTTCATCATCAGTAAAATACAGAAAGATGTAGAGGAAATAGAGTGCTTAAGCAATATTATAGAGTGTTTCTCTTCTGATAGTTTCCTTTAAATTTTTGCCTAGCTTGTGTTTCATCGATAAATACAACTTTATCAATGGCTAAAATACCTACTAGCTTAACTTCCCTGAAATATATTGATCTTTAACATGCTTGATGATTTATTTGGCTTTATCGTCATCCATATAGATGAAACTTTCAAAGTCAGCATTAGGTTCATGCTTTTGATAATCCTTGATCATTTGATCTAGCTACTCCTATGCATACTTATTAAATGCCAGTATATCAGTCTTCTTTTCCATTGCTATTTTCCTATAATGAAATTTATATTTAATTAATTAGGGTAGTCTAGTTTTAAATTACAGAAATCAAATAGGAAAAATTTATCAACATCAGATTTATTAACATAAACACAACTCTGATTAAATCAAAGCATTTCAGTAATCTTTGACTTATTTCCTAAGGTCGCCATACTCAGGATTAGTTTTCCATTTCGCCTCATGTTCACAATTGCATTGATGATTCTCATCAAATTAACCATCCTCATAATATTCTTTTTTCCAAATTGGTACCTTCATCTTGAGTTCATCTATAGCCCACGCAACTGCTTATATTGCTTCTCTTCTGTGTGGAGAAACTGCTAAAATATTTACAGAAGCCTCACCTATGGGCTAAATTCTGAGTTATTTTATTTAAGTAAATTTCTTACTACTTCACCCACTCTATGATACACTGCAATTCCAGATAACTAATAATCATCAACAGCTTTTTCAGCTAATTTTTGCATTTCTTTAATCGCCATTGAGTCAAAGCACTCATAAAATAAAGTCTTCACTTATTTACCATTGAAGTTATTCCTAGTAATCCCTAGATAGACAAACTTTGATAATGAATATAATTACCTGAGAATATAGCTACTGCACCACATTCTGGAGGCTTTAATGATTCAGTCATTTCATCAAGGGAAGGTAGTTTGATGTCTTTAAATATCTCAACTTTGATTGCCATTGGTATAAATTAATTTTTCTAAATTCTGCTCAGTCTACTTTATAATTAAATTATTTATTAATCAATGGAATCAACTTAAACCTTGATGCCCGAGTTCTACTTCAAGGGCCCAATATCAGCATTACTAATCTAAAACTACGGGACTAGCAAGAGACTTTTAGTTGGGGAGGGATCTGTTTTAGCAGTCTATGATTTGTCATAAAAGATTAAGATCAAGGAATTTTAAATGTTTTCATCCTGCTTTAAGATACTTAATATTTCAATGTCTGATGATGCTGAAAAGTAAAGCAAAAGAATTATTGTAAAAACAGAAAAATCAATGAAAGTGCTTGATTAGGATAATTATTCTGTTATTTATGACTTTGACAAACATGGTCATGATAAAATTGTCTAGGAAAAGTTAGTTGGTCATAATCTGTATATCATCAATGCTCATAACTTTATTGAACAATGGGACTTGAGTTCAATGACTTTAGTTTACAGAAGGTTTTGTGAAGAAGAGTGTATATTATACAGTGCAGACTTGAATCTATAAAATAATTTGATAGCTGGAGGCACTGTCTTCAGATCAATTTTGATTTGGGAAAACTTTAGCAATTAGGAATAATAAACAGAAACCTCTAAAGTATTATACAGGTTAGAAGGTCATGCTGGTGTGATATTTGATGTTAAGTTTTTGAAGCAAAATTAAATTGCTTCTGTTTCTGATGATAGATCTCTAAAGATATGGTCAATTGATCTTTAAGAGCATGGAAAGTATCATCTTGTTAAAGAATTTTATGGACACAGATCAAGAATATGGAGATTGGCAGAGCTAGGATATAATGATCTTCTTATTACTGTGAGTGAAGATGCGACCTGCAAAATTTGGAATTAACACTCAAACGATAATAGAGCAATTGAAACGTTGAAAGGTCATCAAGGAAAGAATGTGAGAGCTTTGTCATGCTATGAAGGCTTAATTGCAACTGGAGGAGATGATGGAGCAGTAAAGATTTGGAATGCTGAGGAAATTTTGATGCAAAAGCAGAAAAATTAAGAGAATAACTAAGCTATTATTCATCAATACAGACTGCCAATGGTGGAAAGTAAAAATCAAAATATGGAAGAAGGAATTGCTAATGAAGAATAAAAAGTGGAAGATTCAGTTGAAATTTAAGAATCATAAGAAAGTGATGTGAAGTAGAAAAAGAAGAAAGCAAAAGTTGCTAACCCCAAGGATTAAGTAAATCAGATCAGAGCAATTGAAATAATTTAAACAATAGATCAAAACAATAATTCTATTCCATATGCTATTGCGGTCACTAATAAGGGATCAATTTATGGTATAGATATGTCAAGTTCTGATTTTAAAGAGCCAAGACTTTTGTTTTATGATGAAAATTAATTGAACATTTAGGATATAAATGCTTTAACAATCAAGTCTCAAGATAAAGTAATTAATTTAGTTGCCATTTCTATCGGTGATGGAATAGCGATTCTTTTTAAAGTAGATTTGCAGTAAAACTTGGTACAAATAGCAAGAATATAAACATGCGACATAAAGGTATTGAATGTATTTCTGATAGATGAATCTCATACCTTAAATGAGGATTAAATAGGACTCATTGCTTCAAATGGAAGAGCAGAGCTTATTAAATATTCTATCAAAAACTTCAATGATGTTGATATAGTGATTTCTTAACCTACAATTTACAAGGTGGAGATTAAAACTTAGTTCATCTGCCTCGTCTATAGTTCAAAGCTTAATATAGCTGTAGCAGGAGATACCAAAGGGAATTTATTTAGTTTTGATTTTTCATAGACATCAGACCAACCACTCTTGAATTTCTAGTAACTTAAAGCTCATAAAAATGAAAGAGTAATCAGTCTATTTTTAGATGAGTCCAAAGGCTAATTATACTCTACATCTAAAGACAACTACATTAATGTTTACAATTTTGATGAGAATAAGCAGATTCAGAAGATACAGTCAATTAAAGAGGAGGATTTGAATATAATATACAATATTAATATGATGAACAACAAGATGGTTTTGCTTGGGTTTTATGGCAATTTCGCTTATATTTGGAATAAGCAGGAAAATATGCAGATATTTAGCATTGATACCAAAGGTGGTAATAGACCACTGAAATTAAAAATTTAAGAGGGAACTAACATTGATGAATAATTGTATGGAAAGCACTACGCCTTTGCTTATTCTTTTGGTGATTGTCTGGTTTTATGCAATAATTGGCTGTACTCATCTGAAGAAGAGTAAAAGGTGGTATAAAGCTAATATACTATAAGAGAGTGCTTCCATGGTAGGGAAATACTTTGTGCTTCAGGATTTTCATTAAAAAGTGATAAGAAAATTATTCTAACTGGAGGAGAAGATTCCTTCTTGAAAATATCAGAATACTCTACCAATAACAAAGATTTCAAAATGACTCAATCTTTCAGTAATCATGTAGCATCAATTAGATCCATTTCAAAAGCAAAATATAGAAGTGCTAATTTAGATGAAGGATTTAGTCAAAGAACTTATTATGTGCTCAGTGCTGGTAGCAGAATGCAAGCAAATCTCTTTTATGCTAAGTTAAATCAAGATAATTTCGAAATGAGTCATTTATGCAATTTTATGAGATCTAGTGAACAAGATGAAGAATAAGATTTTAGAATTATGTCCAGTGCCATAATATGCCATTAGAATCAAGGTGAAACCGTTCCCTTTGTGATTTGTGCTTTTGGAACATCGAGTGGGGAACTACAAGTTTTTACATACCATCATAAGAAGAGAAGATTAGAGGATTTGTATAAAATAGCATTGCTGAGTTCAATTCTTACAATGAAAAAAGTTAAAGTATCTTCTAATTCATATGCCATAATATGTGGGCTATCTAACGGTGGTATATACGTTCTCACTCTGAAGATAGATTAAGCTACTAGTTAGATCATTGTTGAACCCAGTGCTGAACTTGAATAAGTACATGATTTTGGAGTGAACACTCTAGATGCATGTTATTTGAAAGAATATAACAGCTTAGTGATTGTTTCAGGTGGAGATGATTAGTAAATCTCATTGCTTAGATTAGAGTTAGAATAATCAGATGAAGGATAGATTAAAATTACTATGAAAGGCTAATTTAAATAGTATGCTCATAGCTCTTGTATCAAAGGATTAGTTCTTAGTAAATGTAATGGATAATTAAAAGTTGCATCCTCTTCATATGATTAGAGATATAAGGAATGGATGATTGATGGAGATAAGTTAGTAGAAACAAAAACAGTAAGACATTGTATGTCTGATATGAACGGAATTACTATTATCAAGTCAATAGATCAGCAATCATCTGAAGTTTGCCTAGTTGGGCAAGGAATAAGTATTTTTCAAATGAAATGAAAGATTTAATTAACTGATATTTTATTAATATTTCTGATAGATACTATATTATCTTATATTACGGGGTTTTGGGGTTTTGGGGTTTGGGGG